AAAAAAAAAAAAAAGATGTCCATGGAATCTGAATATGGTACAGTACATGGCAAAAATAACCTTGCAGATGAAACTAAGGTTAAAAACCTTAAGATAAGGATGTTATTCTGCATTATTTTGGTAGGCCCAATGTAATCACATGAGCATTAAAAGTGTGGAGAAGGAGGGCAGAAGAGTTGGTCAGATTCGAAGTGTGAAAGGTACTTGATCCTCTGCTGCTGGCTTTGAAGATGGTGGAAGGGATCTTCCACTATCCAAAGATCCAAGGCATTTCAATGGCCTCTAGAAGCTGGGAATGACCTTCAGGTGATAGCCAGCAAGAAAATAGGAACCTCAGTCCTACAACCACTAGGATCTAAATTCTGCCAACAACTGGAATGAGCAAGGACACAAATTCTCCCCTAGAGCCTCCAGAAAGGAGTACAACCCTACTGATGCCTTGATTTTAGCTCAATGAGATCCATGTTGGACTTTGTGCCTACAGATCCATGAGATAATAAACTTGTGTTGTTCTAAGCCATTAAGTTTGTGGTAATTTATTATAGCCTCAATAGAAAACTAATACAGATGTTGGTACCAAGAGTGAGCTACTGCTGTAACAAATTCTAAAAATGTAGAAATGGCTTTGGAATTGCACAGTGAGCAAAGACTGGAAGAATGTCAAGGAGCATAATAGAAAAAGCCAAGACTGCCTTCAACCTACTGTTAGCAGAAATCTGGACTTGAAGAATGCTGCCAGTGAGGGCTCAGAAGGAAATGTGGAACATGTTATTGGAAAGTAGGAGGAAAAAGAATCATTGTGAAATAGTTGCAGGAAGTTTAGTGAAATTGCATCCTGCAGTTGGGTGGAAAGCAGAACTTAGTAAATGATGAACTTGCATATTTAGCAGAAGAGATTTCCAAGCAAAGTGTTGAAAGTGAAGCCTGGTTTATTCTTGCTACTTATGGTAAAAGGCAAGAGGAGGGAGACAGATTGAGAGAAAAACTATTAAACATAATGGAACTAGGACTTGATATTAGCAATTCTCAGCCAACTCTCCAGAAAAACACTTTCCCCCAAAATTATCAGAGTTGATACAATTCTAATCAAATTAGGGTTTTCTTTTAGATTGACAAAGCATTATTTTTATAAATAGTCTAAAACAGAGTGTGACATCATGAAAGGTGGCAGGGTAGGAAGCTCCAGGAATCCATCCCTCCACCAAAACAACTACTGAGCTAGTGGAAACTCTCTATAGCAACTTTTTGGTAGCACTGAAGTCTAGTTGAACACTTGCAGCATCCAAGGGAGAGCTTGATGAAGAATCTGGTAAACTTCAGTGAATTTCTGCTGTTTCAACCCCCAGGCTGAAGTGGCTTCCCAGCTGCAGAGGATTTAAATAGACAGTACTCCTCCACCCCCATTCCCACCTCCCTTTTGGGAGCAAGACATTAAAGGAAATCTTCATCAGGTCATTGGCTGACCACAGAGACAATAGAACAGAAACTTTAGTGACCACACACAATAAGGAATACACACTTTGAGGGCCGGCCCCATGGCGTGGCAGTTAAGTGCGTGCACTTCGCTGCTGGTGACCTGGGTTTGGATTCCAGGCGTGCACTGAGGCACCACTTGTCAGGCCATGCTGTGGTGGCATCCCACATGAAGTGGAGGAAGATCGGCACAGACGTTAGCTCAGGGCCAGTCTTCCTCAGCAGAAAAAGAGGAGGATTGGCAGATGTTAGCACAGGGCTGGTCTCCTCACAAGAAAAAAAAAATACAGTGTGGTATTGCTATAAGGATAGACATATAGACCAATGGAATAGAATAGAGAGACCAGAAATAAACCTGCACACGTATGGTAAATTGGTTTTCAACAACGGTGCCAAGACTGTTTAATGGGGAAAAGACAGTTTTTTCAATAAATGGTGCTGGGAAAACTGGATATCCACATGCAAAAAAATGAAGTTGGACCCTTACCTTACATCATATACAAAGTTAACTAAAAAGTACCAAGGATTAAATTTAAGAGTTAAAAGTATAAAACTCTTAGAGGAAAACATAGATGAAAATCTTCATAACCTTGGAGAAGGCAATGATTTCTTAAGTACGACACCAAAAGAACAGGCAATAAAAGAAAAAATAGATAAATTGGACTTCATCAAAATAAAACCTTTTGTGCGTCAAAGGATACTATCAAGAGAGTAAAAAGACAGTCCACAAAATGAGATAAAATATTTGTAAATCATATATCTAATAAGGGATTAATATCCAGCATATATAAAGAACTCCTACAACTCAACAACAACAAAACAACACAATTCAAAAATGGACAAAGGATTTGAATAGACATTTCTCTAAAGGAGATATACAAATGGCCGATAAATACACGAAAAGATGCTCAACATTACTAGTCATTGAAGAAATACAAATCAAAACCACAATGAGATATCACATCACCCCCATTAAAATGGCTATTATAAGAAAAAAAATGGAAGAGAACAAATATTGGTGTGGATGTAGAGAAATTAGACCCCTTGTGCGTTGCTGGTGGGAATGTAAAACAATACAGCCACTATGGAAAACAGTTTAGCAGTTCCTCAAAAAACTAAACATAGAATTACCATGTGATCCAGCAATACCCCTCCCAGGTATATACCAAAAGAATTGAAAGCAGGCTCTCAAACAGATACTTGTATGCCAGTGT